AAACCCTAAAATCCCTAAGCCTTAAAATTGAATTACCTAAACCTTAATCCCTAAAATCCCTAAGCCTTAAAGTTGAATTACCTAAACCTTAATCCCTAAAATCCCTAAGCCTTAAACCTGAATTAGCTAAACCCTAGACCCTAAACCCCCGTCTATCCCTACACCTTTCCACCTCGGTAGGAGGACTTCCAAGTGGCCCGTGGGTCGCTTAATGCCGAGCGGGCCCTGAGGCCGCGAACCGTGGCTCCAATTTCCTACTTTAAGGTTTGCCTTTATAGGGTTTAGGGCTTAGGGTTTACAGTATGATGTACCTTTATTATATGAGCCTTACCATGTCATATTAAGTGTATATCATAGTAGATTAGACCCCTATGAATCGAAGGTAGGATGCATGCATGCATGGATTTACAGAGGGACAGAGAGAGAGAGAGAGAGAGAGAGTACACCAGGCCATGGTATACTAGACCATCTTGGAATGAGAACCCCCTCCCCCCAATATTCCCATACTCCCAACTCCGGAGTTAGGTCTCTGAAGGCATCAGGGTCATGGTCTTTTGGGGACTTGAAACTCCATCAGATTCATGGTGGTGACGTCGATGGTTCCCTTTGGCAGGGTTTGCAGAGAGAGGGCTTTAGTGGAAACGCTTCGTCTGAAGAGTAGAGTATTTCTGCATACATGTATGTTTGAGTGCGTGCGTGCTTCTCAAAAATATGTACCAAGATGTGCATACAAAGGGAAGCCGAATACAAGCCTTACGCAGAAAAAGCCTTCAAATGCGCCTCATGTTTGTTGATTTCCGCTTCTAGCCCTGAACCTTATACCCAGACGATCCCAGATTTCCATAAGCATAAGCCCTAAGCCGGAGTAAGAGTCAGGAAAGTACCCGCCTATCGAAAAAGGATAGACCCCTATCGGATAGGGGTCCATCTGCAAAGGCATAGGAATCGGATAGGTACCTATGCCTAGGCGTCCCCTAGTTGGGATAGGGGCCTGTGCGCAGGGGTCTATGGCTTGGGGATACATCCCTATATGACGGGCGCAGACCCCTATCGTTTTCCGATTGGAGTCTACATGCCAGTCCCTCTCCCGTCTGTTTCCTTAGAGTCCAGTCTCATGCAGTCAGGATAGCCGCGATGATTAGCAGAGCATGTGAATGTAGGGGGCGATAGTGTCAATGCACACGCACAAGCAACTGAGCAACGAGGTCATCTGCAAATTCACTTGAACGGTTTTTTCTGCGTTTGGAAAGTGAAGGAATTAGGATTTGTGGAGAAGGGTTCCATGGTTTGGGCATCAGACGTTAATTTGGAGTTTTGAGGCTGCAGACCTCAGAGTTGGAGCGTCTCGTTGCAGCGGCGCCTCTGCAGTGTTTACCTTGTTTTGGACAGTCGCTGCGATCGAACGCAGTGAAACTATAGTGATGATGAAGTCCATCTATGGCCAGCAGCACGACCATGGTGACAGGACCTGTTCTGGAGCCGCCTAGGAGATCATTTTTTTGTGGCAAGGCCGCATGAGAAGCCAAGTGATCCCTATTGGAAAGAGACTCTGAAGGCATATGCGCAAGTGCAGAATGCGGCTCTAGCAGCCTTTGTCCTGGTCGTGACTACGATGACGCGGTCGCGGGCGGTCATGTTTGTTGTTGGCCAGTTTCTGATGCAGTCACCGGACGTGGATGAGGTTGCAGATTTGGTTCAGATGGTTGACCCGGCGGCTCTGCGGCACACACCGAACGTCTGGCCGTGGAATGCGACCGACGACACTCGCACGTAAGTTCCTGGAGACCGGTGCGCGATTCCTGGGCAGGTCGCCCCAGTGGACGGCATTTTGCGGAACCACTGCAGCAACATGATCAGCATGGTTCGCGAACTGGCAGGCCTCCCTGGCCTCTAGCCTTCAAAACGCAGCACTTGATCGGAGGTTGGATTCGGGTGGAGATGATGCGCCCTGTGCTTGGCATGGCTTCAAAATTCCTCGCTTATGTAGGCATCAGGACGGCATGTGTGAGCTGCATTGGGGTTGGCGCATACTTATTAAAAAACATATCCCTTTCCGGGCCGTGCATCATGATCGCCTGCGGACAGCTCCTGTCCACAGACTTGGTCGACCCCATGGGCCCCCTGAGAGCGAGCATCATGAGCTTCAGCTGGGATTCGGGCCCTGCAAAAGCCTCAGACAAAAGTCCGCAGGCATCATGAACAGTTTGTGCAGCCCTTGCCCCAACAAGGAGCTTAGAGACTGGTATCGGAATGGAAAACCGGACACCGCTCACACCCACTTCTGTATAATCTGTCTCATACCCAGTGAGGCAGGAGCATCTGGAAGATGCTGCTTGCGGGCCCATCTTAGCCTAATCTTAGCGAGGACGGAACGCATCCACAGCCAAGCGGGCACCTTTGCACGTTTACAGGCACCACGAGCATCGTGCCCACTACGCAAGTCAAAAGTGCCTCAAACAAATCAAGGAAAGTCATAGGTGCCGCGTAGGGCGCTATGCAAATCCGGTAGGGGTGTATCAATAAGGAGTCCACAGGAACATGACCAGGGTCTGCAGGCAGGGGCCTATGGATAAACGATACGGGTCTGCGTAGGGGTCTATCGATGCCTATATATGGTAGGGGTGTACTCACCTGACCCATCTTCCTAAGCCATAAACCTTTAAGTTATATCCAAAAGTTCTTATCCTTGAACCGACACCCTCAGCCCTCCATCCAACTTCCAATCTCCTCCACCGGAGACGGTTTAGGGTTATGGGGTTCAAGGTTGAGGTTTAAGGGTCGTTGGGGGCTTAGGGTTGAGGTTTAGGATTTATGGTTTTTGGTTCTGGGGTTTAGGGTTTTGGAGTTTAGGGTCGAGGCTCAGGGTAAAGGACGTTCGGAATTAATTTTAGGGTCCCTAAACAAGCCCCTTCGGTGGTCCCTGGGTGCTGGTAATGTGGAAGCCCGAAGCAGTCGCAATAGTCTTCCTTTGCATTCCAGACTATAAAGACAGTAAAAATACAACTACCCCAAGGCCTTGTTCTAGTTATTGAGGCCTTTATATTAATCAGGATCCTGGTGTAGGGTTGTTCCATGCTCCGGGAGGGCTTCCCGCGACGATCCGCTGCCGCCCTCCGAAAAGGCCTGGCGCAAAGTAATACAAGTAATACAGGGCCTGAACAAGTATTACTTGTAGCACCATCTTTTCGGTTTCCTTAGTCTGTATTCTGTAAGCAAGATAACCCGAAACCCCGTTCTAGCTATTCAAGCCCCTGCATGACCCGATACTTCCCACCTGTTCATAGTTACTTATGCCGAATCCGTGATGAGTACCCTGCCTTTTTCGTAAAGGCTCGGGAACCCCACTACATGGTTTGAAGGCTAGAACCTCCAGCCACTGTTTAGGGTGTGGGGTACTTTTAAGTTCAAGGGCATAAGCCTTGGGCTCTGTTTTGGCATCCAGTTTCGGCCGGTTTTTTGTAACGAAGACGGTTGAAGATGTGGCGCACAAAGGATGGTCCAAGCATGTCGAAGCGGCATAAGGTGGATGCTGCATTTCCGAAAAAGAGCTCGGACTCGCCTCGGTGCGTGTTGAATGGAGGTGGCATCAATGATCTTCTGGACTTGTTTTGCGGACAACCTCACCGGCCAGTCCGTGGCCGGTGACAGTTTCGAATGCTGTTGCCACGTTTGAAGTGCATTCTGTTCTTGCGATGTGCAGTCCTGGAGGTACTGATCTCGGCTTTGGCTGAAACTAAAGCTTGAACACTGAGACCCCGATGCCTGAAAGCTTTGAAAGATGCTAACTCCCAGCCCGGCAGTCCTAAAACCGAAACATCATTAAGCCCTATCTATGCACCTGATCCGAAACCTTAGACTCTCCACCCCGCACCCTTAACAAAGAGCTTTGGAGGCCTTATCGCGATCCGCATCGAAGCTGTCGAAGCATTCGAAGCAGTCAGGGCCCGTGCAGCCCGGCTCAGCAGACTCCAGTGTTCTCCTTTGCTTTTTTCGACGGGGGAAGGGTGACTCAAAGGGGAGGGCGGGGGCGGGGGGGGGGGGNNGGGGGGGGGGGGGGGGGGTTCTGAGGGCTTGATTAGCGTTTAGAGGGGGTTGAGGGTTCAAAAATGCATCCTATAGGGTGTTTTTAGGGCCTTCGGGGTTCTGGTTTATGTTCTTCTGATTTGATGCGTGGGTTTTGTACGAGGGTCTACAGGGTCTCAGACGGGGTGTTATTAGGGGTTTGCATGGCTCTCAATCGGAATGGTATTCGGTCCCAGGGTTTAAGGTTTGATGGATTCTGGTGTTGAGGTTTACCTGTCTAGAGATTGAGGGTTTGGGTTATTCCATTGTACTTGTACGGAAAGTCAGGAGGCTACATACATGTCATGATACAGAACGGGTTGAACCTGGCTACCCCCTTGCAAGTCCGTTCGCATGATCTACTTACTACGTCTAAACCTCCAGGTGAGGTTGGGACATCAGGATGACTAACTGTGTATGTGCAACATACTCGTAGTATGCTCCGAAGGCTGGTCTGTTTATTGCAGGCCCATGTACTACATGTCTCAGATGTGAGAATCAGAAGCTGCGAACATGTGTCTCGGGGGTCTTATAAGCACCTGTCCACCATGAGCCCTTAGCGTTTTTTTTAACCAACGCATGAAACACGAACAACCCTGCGCTTCGGCCATCAAACCCCGTTTGAATTTGGAAGCGATGATTTCCCCTAAACCTAAACCCTAAACCCTGAACTCTAAACTCCCCCGAAACCGTGCTCGCCGATGGTTTCTGCAGGTCAGGAGTCGGATCTGATATCGCTTTCGGAGAACTGGAGGTGGACTATGTGATGTGACTTGGGGGCACTCAGTGGCTGGGGGTTCCCTAGGCTGGCTAGGGTTTAGGGTTCAGGACCGGAGTAGCTGGGGTTTCCTTTAGGGGTTATAGGTTTGTTTGAGGGCTTGGGGTGAAGGGTTAAGGAGTGTAGGAGCAGCGTGGACTAGGCTTATATGGTCCAGGAATCATGGGTCTTCTCTGTACTATCATAAAGCTTCAATGAAGTGGTTGTTCAGAAGATCATTTTTTGGTCCAAGGGGCTTATTGGTGAAGAGTTGCGGTCGTACAGGGTCTAGCGCATTGCGCTGAAATGGTTCTTGATGCGTCTTGCACAAGAGCCTTGTTCTTGTCTCGAGGGAGATTACAGAGTGTAGGGTTGGGTTGAAAGGTTTCACCCAAGAGCGAAGGTCCTTTACCCTACCTGTAGGCTCATACCCTACCCCTTTTTTTGGTACCGACTTTCTTTATGACAGATGCTAACCATAAAACTAGGTACCTTAAAAAAGGGGTAGGGTATGACCCTCTAGGTAGGCTCTAAACCCAAAGCTCTAAACCCTCAAACCCTAAGCTATTCGACCCCAAACCCTACACGGTGGTCCATCTGCGCATGTAGTATACACTTCCGCCTCAAAGTAAAGCCCTATAAGGGATCCTTCCAAGGTGCCTTTACCCATAGGCCCTAAAGTAGTTCCTTTTGGGGGTTCATATATATAGAATCCTATAAGGTAACCCCCAAAGGAACTACTATGGGGCCTATGGGTATAGGTACTTTGGGAAACCAAGTATCTACTACTTGGGTACATGGACGTTTGGGTTTAGCTGAAAGGGCTCCTTTACGAGTTTTTGGAAGGTCCTCAGGGTTTAGGGTTTGGTAAGTTACCCTAAACCCTAGAACGCTAAAGCCCTAAGCCCTAAAACCCTATAAGCCCTAAAACCCTAAACCCTAGAACCCGAAACCCTAAAACCCTCGACCCTAAACCCCTAAATCCTGAAACCCTAAAGCCCTAAACCCTGAAGCCCTAAACCCTGTTAGGGTTTTAAGAATTATAACCCCAAACCCTAAACCCTAAACCCTAAACCCTAGAGAGCATGGGGCTACGGAGGACACCTCCCGGCTCTCCGACTGCCCTGGCGAGCTTTCCATCCAAGCCATGGTCTTAGCGGGTCCTTCTTCGGGGCCTCTTTTTGTTTGTGGGTTTTTGGGGGTTTTGGGATTTCTTTTTTTGGAGTTGTCACCACAGGTTTCATGCGGTTTCGGGGGGTGTTTGATGGTGTTTGGGCCGGAATGCTGTCGAGGATCCTTAGATTGGTGCTGTCGGGTGGCAGAGGGGTTTAAAGTTTGTTAAAGGACTTGGACCATCTCTCTAGATGAGGCGGGTTGGTGTTGTTGAACAGGTCTGCCGGGCTGGGCCTGTTTATGGTGTGCAATGGGGCTTAAGGATTGCTTTCCAGGTCTACATCCCTTAGGTTTCAGGTCTCAAGAGCACGATGTTTTGAGGGGGCTTCTATAATATAAGGTGCTGAATATGAGGGATTCAAAGCATCGTAGGCTCCGGGGAGTACAACGCAAGATGCCTTCTTTCAGTAGAATATGCCAGGCTGGTTCCCAGACACTCCAATACCCCTTAATTAAGGAATATACCTTAAACCATATTAGGGATCCCACTATAATTTAAAGTATATTCCTTAATTAAGGGGTATTGGAGTCTCTGGGTTTCTCGCTCCCCACAGTCCCCACTTGGGTAGTTCTCTAAGTTAGGGTCCCTTTTAGGCTCCTTTTTATAAGGGTCCCGTACTATACTGGGGATTAAAAAGGGACCCTAATTTAGAAAACTACCCACTTCCATTTCACGTCCGTGCGCCGAGAATCGAGGCGATGCTACAGGGCAGCCTTCGACTAACGACGCCTAGGGTTTAGGGTCTAGGGTTTACCTATAGTCTCCATTGTAGTTCCTTTTTTTGGTTAACCAAATAAATATATATATATATATTAACGAGTTTATAAGGTATCTCCAAAAAGGAACTACAATGGAGACTATAGGTAGGGTTCATCAGTTCATGAATCAAGCCCAAGGAGCTCTAAACGCTTTACATGCCCTACCAGTCCCTGTACACTCAGGCCAGTGAGCCCTAGAGCACTCCCGAAGCTCTGAAAGTCTGAAGCCTCCCAACTCTTCATAGCCGCCTACATAGAATGAGTTTAGTACTTGATACCCCATTCCCGTCTCCATAAAGCAAAACCATCTTAGGTCACTATCTGAAGCCAAAAACTCGGGCAGAGGCCTCCTGCCAACGTTGAAATACAGAGCAAGGATTCTGAGCAGATTACCCTTTACATTTGAGGATACGTTTGGCCCCAAAACAAATACGTTGCACCAAATGGTCCAAGTACCTATAACACTCAGGCACTCCTCAATAGTCTATCCTGTAGCTTGTAGAAGCCATAAACCCTAATGCCAAACCTAAACCCTAAACCCTAAACCCCTAAACCCTAAACCCCAAATTTCAGGAGCACTGCATGTCAACTTCCCTAACGGCAGAGGCCTTCACTGATGGCACAAGACTCTCCCATCCGCGGCACCAGCAAGTGTGGAGCTCAGAGGGGCCTGCGGGTGCTTGGGGCCTACATAGATACAAAAAAAAAGTCACAGGGGAGCACTTTGGGTTTTCACAAGACTGCCAGCGTAAGACCTGTAAGGGCTTCATAAGGGTTGAGGACTTCGAGTTGGGGGCTTTAGGTAGATTCGGGTATATGGCAAAGGGTTGAAGCGGTTTTGAAATAAAAGGCCCTTCATAAGTCCTGTACTTGTCCTTATAAGCACGTGTAAGTCTCCTTAATCCTATGGTACTCTGCTATGCCCAATACCTTACGCTGTGCTTATGATAATGCTTGAGGATTTGGCGAGTATAGGGAACTCTTAGTTCGCAAGTGCTGCCTCCGCTGTCGTTGCTGTAGTCGCAGTTGAGACAGATGCAGTATCTAAAACACCTCGACCTTAGACCTCTAGTTTGCATCAACCTCGTTGCGAATGAACATAGCGCATATGTATATAGCTATCGCAACAAGGCGAACAGCAGTGATCGTGATGAGTATGCTATGTAATACGATATGTCGTATCGCAGCCATAGAAGTAATCAGTATCACGCCAACACTACTTACTACAAACGGAGATGGTCGTAGTAACCTTGGTAGCAGAAATCGATGCAATATGACCGATGTTATGATGGTTTCCATTATCAAAAGAGTGCCCCACTGAAACTCAACGGAATGCTATCCGTCAATCTGATTCGCATGGAACTGTTGGGAAAGGCTATCTGCCAGCTTTCGGCCGGACGTCGAAGTGTCCGAAACCCAGCGGGGGTCCTTTCAACAATGTAGCTGGAAGTAGTTGGTTACCTAATCGTGGTTGAAATGTCGTTGGTGGGGACAGGTGAGGCTATTTTTGAAAATAGACTGTTTGTCGATGCATATTAGAATTTCTCGGGGGTACTCCACGAGTTGTTCTTGGAAAGGGATCCTGTCTTGAGGAATGTGGGAGTTTCTGAAGTTTGGTGCAGCTGTGGGTGGTGCGCGCTCAAGGCCTTACAGGAATCATTTGGTCCTAGATCTTTGTCTCTCAGGTTCATATCGAGGGATATGCAGGCTTCCAACACGCGACAAACCGAACTTTCATCATGACTCGTAATATACTGTTCCTGAAGTCCCTATCATGTTTCTTCTATTTCTGTCGGTCGCTGAAGCTTGTCTGGCTGCCTAAGTAGACAAACGGAGG